TATATATATATATATATATAATAATGCGTTTACCAAGAATCTGAATAAAAGACTCAGAGTGCTGCTGCAATATGTCGCAACAGCAGATGATTTGCCTGATTGACTCTAGTGTTGCAGTCATCGAAGGAGGAGGACAAAGGGGTATGCGTGGTTTCTTAAAGGAATGAGGAGGGGAGGGGGGTGGGTGTTCTGTTCTTCATCGCCATGCTCTTACTGTCATATTGACTTGTGTTGCACAAAGCAAGTCTATTTAGTTACGTGTGATGTCCAGGCGCCCTGTGGAGAAATTATCTCGTGCCCTTCGACGACAAGCACAAATTCGTTCGTGGCAGTGCACAAGAAAGGCAGAAAGTCAACCTACTGCAGCGGCAGTTGCTGCTATGGCCGCATCACCGGTGGGAAACGACGCCAGGCGTCCCCCCTTTTCGCTACACAAGAGGACAGAAGGATCGCTCCATTCCACCGCTCCTGCTGGATCAGACCGCGGTGATTCCATTATTCAAGCGAACCACTCCCTCCGCGAGGCGTTGGCCCGCGGAGGACCCGAGACACGTCTCACACGGCAGGTGAGGCGAGCAATTGAGCATTCGTCGGGGAAAGCAGATGCGATGAAGGCGTTTCAGGTCCTCCTTCAGACAGATGACGAGACACCTACAGCGGCGACGTTCAAAATTCTCGCATCCACGCTTCTCCAGCACCATGTGGAGGAGCGAGTGGGTCACGCGGCGTTTCAGCACGCGCTAGTGGATGCTGTGGGCTCCGATAGCGATCGGTGGAAACGACTCTCAGAAGAGGAGCGGTCTACATTTGTGAACTACACCTGTAGAACAACAGAGCGGTGGGCGGAACGCGGCTCGTCATACAACAAACTTCTGGGATTTTCTCAGGAGGGCACCGATAACGACACCGTGACTCAGGTGGAGTACCAAATGCGGAAGAGCGGCGTGACAGTATCATCAGCGACGTTGGCTGATCTGATGCATCTCGACGTCACCTGGTCGACCGCCGTGCATCTATACGAGTACAGCGAGGAGCAGCACAAGGTACCGCCGCCCATGGAAATGGTAGATCGTCTTATGGGCCTCATGACAGGGTATAAGACTGGGCTTGGTGGTTCTCGCCCCTGGAAGCGGGCATTGGAGTTGTACGCTCGAGCCCTTGCATCTGGATACGAGTTGACGCTGACAACTCATACACACGCTTTAGACGCACTATGGCGAAGCGCCGACACATTTCACCACGTCCGGTGCACCGTGAGCCCGGCGCACCAGAAGATGATATGGGAAAAGGCAAATGAGATCAGCCAGCGTGTGAAGGCGCAGCAGCTGCTGATCGCCGGGGAGGACGGCTGTGCGTACGCGGAGAGCCTCGCGAAGGCGTTTGCGGCGTCTGGTCGGTGGTCGATGGCGGTGTCGCTTCTCTCCGACCTGGACACCTCCGCCGAGGACGCGTCGTTCCGCTCGCTCGTACCTACCGCCGAAACGTACGCCTTCGTCATGGCGGCATGTAATGCGGCAGGCAACGCATCGCACGGTGAGGCGGTTTGGACGATTTTCCGCTCGACATACACCCTACGCTCCCTCCAGTCCGAGGTGCTCGTCGTTCTGCTGCAGTCCTTCCGGCACGTTGTGCGCACCTCGCCACTTGTTGGTTCCCTCGTCGAGGAGTTAGTGATGGATGGAAAGGGACTGGAGCGTCAGGCCGTGGTGACCTCCCTGCAGCTGCTTTCAAGCAGACATGTGAGGACAAAAGAGCCGCGGTGGCTTCTGGCATCCAAGCTGCTTGAGATGTACGACGCGAATTCATGGCCACAGCAGCCCTTGGCGCGAAAGGCGGATCTGCAGACGGTATTTCGGTGTTGCCACTTAATTGCCGCTATGGAGGCGGCGAATGGCAGGCGGTTGCTTACGCAGTTGCGGCAGAAACTCATTGACGTGTTTGGGGCCGACTCGGCGGAGGTGGAGTGGCTGGATGACACATCCGTCTACGCGCTGCAGACGACATCCAGCTGGGAGGAGGCTATCAACGTCTACGACGCCGCGGTGGGTAGGCGAACACCGGGGCGCGTACCGTACCTGCCGATTCCGCTGCGTCAAGCAAAGACAATGCTCCTAACAGCACTCCTGCGCTGCTGCAAGACAATGGAGGAGGAGGGCGAGTCGTTTCTGGTCGACGAGGACACGCAAGAGAAGGGCCGGGACGCCGCGGTGGTACTGGCGGAACGAGCGCTGGCGATGGCTCGGGCGGTGTACACGGCGGATGACACATTCCCGCACAACCTGTATGCGGAGTTGTTGCTGCTGCGCGCGCAGGGCGCCGTGAAGCGCAGTGAGCGGAAGTTGCACGCACTGGAGGCGATGAGGCACTTCTCACAGGCCTCGGCTATATTGCTTAACCATCACGTTATTGTCCGCTTGGCTGCGGCGTTGGCGCTGACGGAGGTGCACGTGGAGAACGCATTGCTAGAGGGCCACGCTGCCCTGCGGTGCGCAACGTTTGCACTGCCAAAGGATTGCCGAAAAACAAGGACGGCTTGCGGTGTCTTTGACACAATGACGTGGTAGCCATGTGCTGAATTATCGTCGCCACAGCGATGCTGTGGCGGGAACGAAAAAAAAAA